GTAGAATAGTTTGCAGTGTTCGGCTGTTCCACCAACAGCGTGCATACTCATATGCGATGAGTCTGTAACACTAATACACAATGATGTCCAGCTTCTCCAAAGTTCTCCACAGCAGCTGGTGGGAGCAGGGAACATCTGCTTTATGTCTCCATGTTCTGGCCAAGTTATGGGTGTGTTTTAGATCCTCGGGCGTTGTGCTCAAACAGCCTAATCTAACATGTGTGTGTTGATCTTGTAGTCCGCTGAGGTCTTGGACAGAGTGGAGTGTGGTTCAGGATAAAATGTGCCTAGATGGAAATACATTTTCTTTACTCCCACATAACGTGTATTTTCAAAGCTGCCATTGGGCTGTTCAACGGGAGGTGATAGGCAACGTAACACCTATGTTTGATGTAATGTCTGGAAATAATGGCTCATAGTTTTTATGTTGCATTTTCTTGATAGATGAATATATTTACAATATATGTCAAAACATGAAAGCAGACAATGACAGATTTCACACATTTACATTTCATGGTAACATTTTCAACTGTACTACACTATACACTGCCTGATATATGCACACCATATCCTGCACCTAATGTACCCAAACACTGTACTCATGCTAATAGGACAACTATGTAGTTTATCTTGTTCAGAGGATAGAATACTTTAGTTTCATAATGCAGTGTGTAGGTGGAACTTATGATGAACACTTTCCAATAAAAGTTTAAACAGAATATTAATGTTCTGAGCTCACTTTGAAACACTGTGAAGTAAGAGTGAGTAAAAAATAATCAAGAAGTCCACACAGCTGTTTGTCAAGAGGTTCTTCCTTTGTAGTAAGGCTTCCATAAATTTTGTATTTTGGAGTATTTTATGCCTTTATTTGTTAGCCCCAAGCTTCTGTAGATTTGACTGAGACAGTTTATCTGTTTATTTATTGACACTTAATTGTCGAAGGGTAAATTCAATATATTTGAACAAGACAAGAACAAGAGTCTACAGCCATTCTAGCAGCTCAGTTAAGCTATAATATGGGGGCGGCTGTGGCTCAGGCGGTAGAGCGGGTTGGCCGTTAATTGGAAGGTTCAATCCCGGCTCCCCCTGGTTGCATGTCGAAGTGTCCTTGGGCAAGATACTGAACCCTGAATTGCCAGTGTATGAATGTGTGTGAATGTTAGTTTCTGTTTGAGCACTTGGGCTCAGTGTAGAAGAAGGTGAATGCAGATGTAGTGTAAAAGCGCTTTGAGTGGTCGAAAAGACTAGAAAGGCGCTATACAAATACGGAGCATTTACATAATGGACAGCAGTTTGATGCTAATGTCAGTATGCTGTGATGTTTCGTAGGTACATGGGTTACCATGTTTACCATCTTAATTTAGTATGTTAGAATGCTAACATTTGCTAATAAGCAAATTATTCCTTTTCTTTTTCTCAGAGCTGCTTGTAAGTCTGTGTTATTGCATAGGGGTCATGAGGGTCATGAGTGAGACACTTTCAGTTGTCGGAAGAAGAACATTCTTCAGTGCCACGGGCTCCCAGTTACTTACATGACCTTCTGTTTTGGTCAGTGAGGTCCCCTGAGCAACTTTTGTCACATAATGACCTTTCCTACCTGGTCCACAACTCTGCAGTCCACTGTGTAATTTTATCTGCCGCCCCCAGGGAATCCCGCTCCCCTGAATATCAGTTCTTTCCTGTGGGTGCTCGTCTGCAGTTTCAGTCTTTTAGTCTTTCCATGAAATAATGTTTTGGAGAATTTTGCAGTACACAGAAAGGTCAGTGCTTTTATTTAAAACAGCAAAAATGTTGTATTTATATTTGTACTCGGATAAAAAGAGGTGTGTTTGTCTTTTGTTTTTTTCACTGACATTGTTTGGATATTAGTGCACTAAAGTCATTGCCATGTATTATATTAATGGATTATAACAATAATATTACACTTGTATGCTGAACAGCTACATTTTAATGCAAGGAGCTGTTAGACTCATATTATCCTTTTCATGATATTCATGTTTACTTATCTGGTCTATTTGGGGTTTAATTTCATTCAGGAGCTATGATGTACAGTCCACTTTGTAATGAGAACTGAGTTTGCATTTTCACATTTCCACGACACATTAATGTAACTTTGACAAAAATAACTGTAGTGGATTGTCTAGCTAAAGTAAGTTTAAATCTCTATAAGTGGAATAGAGAACACTGAAATATCCCAAATATCTTAAAATGCGTGACTAACCCAATTGCGTATCATAAGAACTTTGCTGAACCTTGTACAAATGCATGGGCTGGGCTGGGCCTCTTTGCTGGTATCTCAACTGGCAGCCAGGCAGCACACCAGGTACATTACTGTAAGCTGTGAGCCAGTGGGCTCTGGACAGCTTGTGTCTGTCATGAGTAGTTATGTGTATGGTCCTGATTGTTTGGGAAGAGCGCCAAACCTGCTGCTGTGCTTTAGATGAGAGGTGGTATGGATGAGATGTTGTGTGTAGGAGATGTGTTGAGAAAACAACATCTATCAGGCCAACCCACTGTGGCATAATACTGTATATCCACAGTCTCAGACCAAGAATTAATTCTTTGCCAAGTAAAATAAGTGTAGAGGTATTTGTCATGGAGGTAGGTTGACAGCTTCCAATCCACAGTACAACAACGGACTGGTCCACCCTGGCATACATTTTCTCTAGTCAACCACTTGGTCGGTTGGTAATTTTTTATTCGTTGCAGAAGTTAATAAGTTTCATCAAACATAACTGGTACGGCCTTAAAAGATTCAATAACTACAATGGGAGAATGTTCCTTCTACTAAATAGCATTAGAAAAATCCTGCGTATTTATCTATAACCTTAAATATTCTTGATTAAATTTGCAGTAATCACAGTTTTTAAAATTTGGAGGAAAAGCTTAATCAGGACTGTGTGGGTCTGATTTGATCAGATTTGACTGACAGTAGCCTGTCAACATAAGGCTGCAACCCCACAAAGGGTCATCACATTGTCATTCAAAGGTTGCTAAATTCTGATTGGTTCTCAGAAATACGTCACCCTGACCCCACTGAGCCCAGCCCACTTCAAACCAGCGAGAAGCGTACAGACAAAATACATAAAATAAGTGCCAAATTGTTGCATCAAGTGATCACTTGCCTCAGGACGGCCACTTCCTATGTCACAGATGTTCTCACCTCTTTATGAGCCCAGATAAAGCTTAAGTTCCTCGGGCAAGCCCCTGCTGGCTCGCCCCAAGTCTGAGATTATAAGGACCAGGCTTTTGTGGTTTGGGGTCCTCACTCTTTGAGCATACAAACTGACTGTCTTTATTTAAGTCAGCTTTTGAAATTTGTTGTTAATCAGGCTTTCTCAACTTGATTTAAGTCTTACTTACATCTTCTGCTGTGTTATTATCTCATTCTGTTCATTATTTTATTTTATTTGTATGCAGCATGCATGTACTGTACCTTTATGTTACTGAAATCATAGCATTTTCTGAACAGACAAGAAAATGCCGCTGGCTACAGAGGAAGTGTTTTTTTTTTTTTTTTTACTTTAATATCCTTTTTCTTCACTCATACAATACATATTGCATTGTACATGAATCAACAGCATCAGAGCCTCTGGTGACTATCTTTTTGACTATATAGAGTATGTATCTTCAAAGAAATGTAAGGCTGTTGCCGAGGGAAATTATCCCATCAAATTGGGATGAGGGCAGCAGCTCTTGAGACTAGACTGCAATAACACTTCTTCTTGATCACAATGGGGTTTTTTATTAATGAAAAACAAAAAAATGCTGCTGTTGTATGCTATACATGCAGAGTTATGATAGACTACTCCTGGGAACTGTTGCCACCTCTACATTTTAAAGAAGCTTTCACCCTTAACTTACATCAATATAAAGAAGTGAAACATTTCAGAAGTTATTTTGTAACAATATGTCGTAGTTTACCTTTGTGTTGTACTAACTTTAGCTCAACCTGCTTCAACTACATCTACCTGTTTCTTAGTCTGCTCACTCATTCAACTGTGGTTTACAGGTTGTGGAGCTGACTGGCAGTGTTAAATAAATGCAGCAGAAGGTGGAGACACACAGTCCAATGGGCAGCTTTCCCGTTACATAAAATAACATAGACATTCAAAATCTTCTGTTGTGTCATTTGTTCTGTTGAGGGACAGGTGACCACTACTGTCTCAAAAGTGAGAAAGACGACTTTCTAATCTTAAATGATCAAAAGATTGGCCTGGCTGTTTTGTACAAGAGTTTTGCTGGATTTCCCTGATACAAAGGTTGTCAGCCGACAGGCACATTACTCACCTGTAACAGCTATATACAGAATACACCTGATTACACTGGCTGAGACTTTGGCTGCTGTGTTCAGTGGATTTGCTGTGGTAACATAACTACAGCTGGTGCCTTTTTTCTTGTGTTCATGCTTTGTTGGTGTTTAGCTCACAAACTTTGCATTTGTTCACTCGTTGGGTTTAATAGGCCAAGGCTGCTCTGCTTTATTGTTGGTTCAGGTTACAACTACAATACATGGCAGTGTGTGTGTTTTTTTAATACCTTTACTGCTGTTTAATGTGTCACTATAGCAACGAGAGCCAGCTGGATTTGTATTGTGTGATGTCTTTTAGAGCTTTACATGGCCTTCTTAATTTAATTTACATAAATTAGAAACACATCTATGATCCCAGTGTTTGGAAACAGAAATCCAGACGCAACTATTGTGATTTTATTTATTTTGTAGCATCAGAATTGTTGTAATTTTTTATATTTTTGAGTACATTGTTCACCTTGCAAGAGACTACCATTAGAAGATTTAGCATTGCACTCATTTAACAATGTCTGACTCGCAATGGACAGATAGATGGAAAGATATTTTATTTCACACATTCCTCTTCCTAGGGTGGCACTGACCCTAAATTGTCCTGTGAGTTGTTGTCACCTTTCGCCCGATGCCAGCTGGGATTGGCTCTAGCCCCCCGTGACCCTGTACGCAGGATAAGCGGTTGACGATGGATGGATGGACATTCCTCTTCCTTGTCAAAACCTGGTGCCTACATTACCAACAATACAGCACAACCAACCAGACATATTTGCTTTCAGTTTTGAATTGATCTTGCCTTGTTCACTCCACACATAGTTCAATCTTGTTGACCTGTGAAACTGGTAATGATACAGTGATAGAGGTTAATGATGGTAAGTGAATAAATTTCACCTGGCCAAACCCTGTCTGACTGCACCTTAACAGCACTGTCCCTTAAAACACTTCAAATGGTCCTATAATAGCTTGTTTCCTAGTTTGGCCACTCATGTTTAACATACAGTGGGTACGGAAAGTATTCAGACCCCTTTAAATTTTTCACTCTTTGTTTCATTGCAGCCATTTTCCAAAAATCAAAAAAGTTCATTTTATTTCTTAGTAATGTACACTCAGCACCCCATCTTGACAGAAAAAAACAGAAATGTAGAAATTTTTGCAAATTTATTAAAAAAGAAAAACTGAAATATCACATGGTCATAAGTATTCAGACCCTTTGCTGTGACACTCATATTTAACTCAGGTGCTGTCTATTTCTTCTGATCATCCTTGAGATGGTTCTACACCTTCATTTGAGTCCAGCTGTGTTTGATTATACTGATTGGACTTGATTAGGAAAGCCACACACCTGTCTATATAAGACCTTACAGCTCACAGTGCATGTCAGAGCAAATGAGAATCATGAGGTCAAAGGAACTGCCTGAAGAGCTCAGAGACAGAATTGTGGCAAGGCACAGATCTGGCCAAGGTTACAAAAAAAGTCCTGCTGCACTTAAGGTTCCTAAGAGCACAGTGGCCTCCATAATCCTCAAATGGAAGACGTTTGGGACGACCAGAACCCTTCCTAGAGCTGGCCGTCCGGGCAAACTGAGCTATCGGGGGAGAAGAGCCTTGGTGAGAGAGGTAAAGAAGAACCCAAAGGTCACTGTGGCTGAGCTCCAGAGATGCAGTCGGGAGATGGGAGAAAGTTGTAGTAAGTCAACCATCACTGCAGCAATCAAGCTTTATGGCAGAGTGGCCCGACGGAAGCCTCTCCTCAGTGCAAGACACATGAAAGCCCGCATGGAGTTTGCTAAAAAACACCTGAAGGACTCCAAGATGGTGATAAATAAGATCCTCTGGTCTGATGAGACCAAGATAGAACTTTTTGGCCTTAATTCTAAGCGGTATGTGTGGAGAAAACCAGGCACTGCTCATCACCTGTCCAATACAGTCTCAACAGTGAAGCATGGTGGTGGCAGCTCATGCTGTGGGGGTGTTTTTCAGCTGCAGGGACAGGACGACTGGTTGCAATCGAGGGAAAGATGAATGCGGCCAAGTACAGGGATATCCTGGACGAAAACCTTTTCCAGAGTGCTCTGGACCTCAGACTGGGCCGAAGGTTTACCTTCCAACAAGACAATGACCCTAAGCACACCGCTAAAATAACGAAGGAGTGGCTTCACAACAACTCCGTGGCTGTTCTTGAATGGCCCAGCCAGAGCCCTGACTTAAACCCAATTGAGCATCTCTGGAGAGACCTGAAAATGGCTGTCCACCAACGTTTACCATCCAACCTGACAGAACTGGAGAGGATCTGCAAGGAGGAATGGCAGAGGATACCCAAATCCAGATGTGAAAAACTTGTTGCATCTTTCCCAAAACGACTCATGGCTGTATTAGATCAAAAGGGTGCTTCTACTAAATACTGAGCAAAGGGTCTGAATACTTATGACCATGTGATATTTCAGTTTTTCTTTTTTAATAAATTTGCAAAAATTTCTACATTTCTGTTTTTTTCTGTCAAGATGGGGTGCTGAGTGTACATTACTGAAAATAAAATGAACTTTTTTGATTTTTGGAAAATGGCTGCAATGAAACAAAGAGTGAAAAATTTAAAGGGGTCTGAATACTTTCCGTACCCACTGTATGTGTTTATGGCCTTGGATGAAAGTGGAAGAAATGTCATGTTTTTTAATATTTCAAATGTGTTTCTGTGGGAAATTCATATTTGGCTGGTTACTTTCTTACTTTTCACTGTTAAGGTCATGTCTTTAAACTTGTGGGGGTCCAGCATTTTGGTTCCACAAAGCTGTCAGACCCCACAAGTATAGTGGAAGTGGAGTGCCCTAGAGTCACTTACAGAGAATAGGATGTCCTCCAACAGCTCAGGTCATTCCAGATTGCATCAAAAGGTCCTTTAACGTTGACATTATCTCTGCATATTTTAATAAACCGCGGTTCTGTCGTGGGACGGGGTTATGGAGTGTGTGCCGGGTGGTTAACGGTTATCTGCCTGCATATCTATCTGTCCTGTCCTGTCTGTTCACCTGTCTGTCCTTTCTTAAAGGTGTTCCTGTCTGTCAGATTGCATGTCTATCCTCTGAATGTTTTAGGTCACTCACTGCTGTCTTTCACGGCAGTTTGACTGTAGGAGGAGAAAGTGAAGAATTGAAAAGTAGGAAAAGTCTATCAGTATTTAGAAAATGGCTGCTGGGAAAAACCTTGTTTCTTCTTTCTCATCATCTTATCATCTCTGCATCTTTGCTTTCTCTTTCACTTTGACCTATCTGCAGTCAGCCTTCTGTACTCCTATATTGCCTTACCTTTTTCTCTCTACTTTTTGTCTTTACATTTCTTTTCACTCTCTTACTTTTATATCTTACCTCTGCTTTTAACCTCCAGCTTTTGTCCTGAACCTTTGCCCCCCTCTTTCTCTATTGTCTCATTTCTTCACACCTCATACTGGTTTCAGCCCAGTCTCTCTGGTCATTTTTTTATCCATCTTTTCTTCTGTCATTGTTCATAGCTACTTATTTCTTCATTGCCCTCCCCTGTCCTTCTTGTATGAACCCGATATCATTACCCTTTTCTCCCACTCCTCCACTAGTTTCCTCTCTCCAATCACCCTTATCCTGACTTCCTTTGACGTTTGAAGGAGAGTGGGGATTCACTCAGCTGACAAAGGGAGAGGCGATGATGTCACAGCAGACATGATACACCAGCATCTGCTCTGGTCTAAAAATACACACCACAGGGCACACACAGTCTGCAGCTGCACTCAGCATTTGTTTCCACCTCCATGCTCTACTGAGATGGCCCAGCTTTTACACAACTGGGGCTCGTATGCATGCTGGGTTACATGCTGCTGGGCCACAACTGATCAGCCTTGATGTGTTTAGATATTAAGGTTTAAAGACTACAAGTTGGAGTGCAGTAAGGGTGCAGGGCGTGGGTTTGCTGATATGCTAAGATCAAGGTGGGCATGCTTATGAGGTCATTATACAACCTGTCATGTGTGAATACCACTAAACCTTATTGTTTTATATTCTCCTTTCAAATTGTTCAGCGCCCTCATTCTAAATTCAATGAATCAAAACCTAATAAAGAAATATTCTCAAAAACTGTGGAACCTACATGCGTTGACATTAAAAGAAATTAAAAACTTCACTCAAACTCAATTTACTGTAATAATTTATTAAATTTGCTGGTAGATGCATAGGTTGGTGGTGGGCTGATCTGTTTTTTTTTTTTTTTTTTCAATATTTATGTGATGGGCGGCACGGTGTTGCAGTTGTTAGCACTGTTGCCTCACAGCGAGAAGGTCGCGGGTTCAAACCCCGGTTGCCCCGGCCTTTCTGTGTGGAGTTTGCATGTTCTCCCCAGGTGCTCTGGCTTCCTCCCACAATCCAAAGATTAGGTGTGAATGTGAGTGTGACTGGTTGTTTGTCTGTGTGGCCCTGCGATGGACTGGCGACCTGTCCAGGGTGTACCCTACCTTTTGCTGGATGTAAGCTGGGATCCAGCCCCCCGCAACCCTGTACGCAGGATAAGCGATTTCATATTCCAGGTATTCCTTAAGCATCTAGTTTTTGATATATAATTTGCCTCTTACTTTTGCACTTTTAACTTTAACATAATAGAGACATTGTATTATAATTCCAACTTTGTCCAAGTGGGTCTGAAATGACCCAGAATCATTTACTATCAGTTACTTATGTCAGATATTTGTGCTATTTACTGTGGACCACATCTCAACCGTGATTTGCATCACCACTCACCTACATTATTTTACACAGCAAGACAATTTCAATACAGTATTGTGTGAAAACGTATCTGCTATTATAATGAAATCTCCCTTCTTTATAGCTAGCTAACATTAACTTGATGGCTGACAGTTGTGGGCAAGCTGTTGCCATAACCAAGTAGCATAACTTGGAAAGGTAGACTCTAAAGATGATGATACAGGGAGCAACTTTTAGAGCAATGGTGCTGGGCAATGTTGCCATCTCAAAATAATAAATAAGCAATAAGCATTACAAACTTTAAATAATACTGTTGTGGCATTTAAATTCAAACTTCCAGAGTGCTAGAGTAAATCTGGAGAGTCGCAGCAACAAACACTCTCCCTCCAGTATTTACTGTCTTTGAGCAAGGCACTGTACCTGCAGCTCCTCTGGTCTTCAGCAGTGGAGGATTGTGTGAGTACTCCGTAGCTCCCTGGTGCCGAGTGGGTGTTTGTGTGTAACCCTCTCTGACCCTGCGTTTACCCACCCGAGGCCATCTCTGTAAATAAGAATGTGTTCTTAGGGAAGTTGCTGAGCTGAATAATTAAGTCTTTTTTATCTGCACTGCCTGTGTGCTCATACATATACTATGCTTCCTCAACAAAACCCTTTCTGTCTTTTTCTTCTACTCTTTTATGCAGGTTATCTGCTATTTTTATGAAAATTGATGAATGTCATTGATATTTGAAGTATTTCAATATTTACCTGAAATGTTAAAAAGGGATGCTTCTGAGAATGACACTAATCTTTTTTTTTTTGAAAGTCAAATACGGCATCTATTCCTTTTTTTCCAGACTAGCATCAGTTCTAATTTCATGTTTTTTGTGTGATGATGATGATGTGATTCTGTTTACATCTGAGAAATTGGGTCGTTTTTTTTGTGTGTGTGTGTTTTTTTTTTTTTAAAGTAATGTATGCCTTTTTCTATTCTGTGTCCTCTTTGTACTTACATGTGTCTTTTGTCTGTCTGTTGCTGGTGTTGGCATGTAACCAGGGAAGTGGAGCAGGCAGGTCTGTCGGACTTGGAGATCATCTCCCAGCCAGTGGAGGACGAGAACCAGTGCTTGGCTCCTCCAGTCCAGCTGGTGAGTTTTGGCTACCGAGATCTGCCCCTCGCAGCTCTGGACCTCTCGCTGGCTGGCTCGCAGCTCCTCTCCAACGCAGATGAAGATGAGAACAGGGAAGGGTGAGTGAAACTATTGTTGTATCTGCACTGTTCTGTGATAGATACATTTGTTTTTAACATGGTTTGCCTCTGTGACAAGTGTCACTGACACACTGGTGGTATTTTTATGTACTGTAGGTGACTTTTCTGGATTCATTTATAGGGGGCACAAACACAATCACAGTCAGTGTTGAGGCAACAGATTCCTCCATCTTATGAGCACTGTTTTATTTGAGGAGCTCAAAAACAACTAAACATATCACTCCTCTGAAAAGCCTCATCGGACATTACTTTCTGTATATATCGTCCGTATGCCATGAGCTTACCATGTGTAAATGTTTGTTAAAAGATTTTGGTAACTGATGATTTTTTAACAGTAAAGCACCCTTTCGCTTATCTCTACTGCCTTCAGGTGATTTCCCATTTTCTCTTTCTCTTGATATTCACCATTATTCCACTATGTTATTAATGATTTCAAATCACAGTTTATACAAACTACTAAAAATGTCCTCTTTAAGACCCAAATTGTTCTACATCTGCAAATGAATAGCCTACCTTTGAAAATAACTTCTTGTCAGTGCACCACATAAAGTTGTTGCACATGCCAGAGACATTATAATACTGGAATATGATGAGACTTTAACAAATTGTGTGAAATGAGATGATTGGAAGAGTTTTTCTTAGTCAATTTTTCAGTCTGCTTATATTGGAAGTGTCAATCTCACACAACCAACCATAAGTGACAGACATCGTCTGGTGTGTTTTTTTTGTTGTTTCCGTTCAGTTACTTTGATACCTAATTTTGACATGTTCAGGCTATTGTTCTCTTACGCTCTTTGGTCTGGCATGCATCATCAAAAACCTTATACAAGGTGAGATGTAAATTAATTTAAAATATATAATTACTGTGGCATCATCTGGTTCAAAACGAGTTATTAGATACATTTAATTTTGTGTGTGGATATTGTGAGAAATTGGTATACACTAATGTCAAGGATTTTTGTTAAAGAGAAAGTACTAACATACATAATGTGAAAAATGGTTCAGAGTAAAAAAGCTTGCTGAAACAATTTAGTATTCAGAGCTTGTCATCTGCACCCTGAGGTGATTACATTGGCCAAAACAAGAGCCATTCATTCTTACCGGTCCCATCTAAACACACAGCTCTGCTATCCAGATGTCCACCTATGAAATTCTCCAAATAGCCATGTCTTGAAGTCATGTATTGAAGACCCGAGTGATGCGATGCAAACTTCACTGCACATCTCACTGCTCACCAGAGATGCTCACAAGTCTTTGAGCTAGAGTCCAAGTCAGGTCTCAAGTCACTCGTGGTTATAATGAATGTTGTCTCACCTGCTGCGTTCAAACCAGGCTGCTTATAAAACTGCATAGCAACAAGGGATTCTGTAACTGTAACCTGTTTTTCACTTACAGAGCACAAGCATGTAATGCGCAATGCAATTAATGACAGCTTATTAACTCCTGTAAGTCAACACATCCCCAGACTCTCAAACCCAGTGTACCGTAAACTAAATAAAACCGTAACGTTGCATAATCAACAATAAACCTGTAACCTGTTTTTCACTGAAACTGCGTTCACACCGAAAGCGAATTTAATATTCACCTCGCTTTACTCGCGCGAGTTTGACCGCTGGACATTTCGAGTGTTCACACACGCGCGTTTTAAGCGAATAAACACAGCCCGTCGATACTACAGCTATGTGAACCCAAAGTAAACCCTTTGCTGTGATTTAATTGCAATAAACGGATCAAACTGATGACGAAATAACTACAATATGATGCCGTTTTGTTAGACATATGAATTCATGCTTTGTCAGGTCTGTCAGCAAGTCAGCAGGACGACAACTTTTAAAATACGTGTTTTCTGAATGGAGTTCGGATCAATCAGGGCTATGCTATGCTAACCTGTTCACAGTAAAGTACAACAGCAGCTGGAATAAAGTTACAGACACACATTTTCTAAACTCACCAGGTAGTTCAACTTCCTCGCTTTCCAACTTTGTCCGATTTTTATATAAAAATGAAGTAGTAATCCAGAAGAACTCTGGTGCCATCCGACGCTATCAACAACAGTGGAACCGGATGTGCACGGAAGCTAGCTGCCAAGAAGCGCGGGTGAAGATAAATCAAGTTGCAATTCCAAAAACTAAAGTAAAAAGCTAATTTAATAAAAGCAGTTAACTCTTACCTATACTACTGTAAGTCAACACACCCCGCAGACTCTCAATCCCAGTGTAACGTTAACTGAATAAAACTGTAACGTTACATGATCAACAATGAACCTGTTTGCAGCCAACGTTGATAATGAACGTGATGGCAGCCCGCGGGACATAAATGATTACATTAATTGACTACCACAAGTTTGGCATGTAAACAAACACTTAGGCTATATTTCTTTTCAACATCTAAAGTTAGCGAACAACAGTCGGAGTTAACCTCTTGTAACGTTAGGTTGTAGCAAAAGCAAGAAGCAAGCTAACGTTAGATGGCCAATGCTGAGCTAAACATATTTACTAACCTGTTTGCGTTCAGCGCTTCTTTGTTTGCGCCTTGTTGTATGAAGTTTTAAAGCTAAAGTTTATGATGAACGGCGCAGCAGCTGCCGCTGTTTGTTGTCCTGTTTCACGTGTGTAGGTTATAGTTAACGCAGCGAGGGGAATTATAGCAAGCTCATCAGACGTTTCCTAAAAATAAACAATGTTCACCAGTCCCGCACCTCGAGTCCGAGTTTAGTCTGAAGTCTTCTGAGGACCGGTCTCAAGTCTGAAGTCACTGTGTGTGCGACTTAAGTGCGACTGGAGTCCGAGTCTCAAACTCGAGTCCCCATCTCTGCTGCTCACTGCTCACTCTTAACCCCTGTCAGCAGTATGATACGATGTGAGTCATTTATTGCAGACATAAGAAGAAACCAAGGGATTACATGTTAAAGTGAAAACAGTTATTTCCAACATGGTTTCTCAAGATGTTGTAATACCAGAGGAGTTGCAGTGACAGGGTTCAGAAGAAGCTCAGAGACACAGCAGGTGCACAGCTTGTATTGATCTCTTGTAGATGGAAGTGGTCAAGAAGTGGACATGCATCACATATGGATGGTGAACCATATACCTTTAATGAGACAAATATCACGGGAGCTATACTAGAACTGTCTAATGAATAAATGGAAAGATGTTTAATACCTTTTCCTCTGTTGGAATCTCACTGTGGTGTACTTTGAAAGTTGTACAGAACACATGCCTGCACTGAAAACACTGAAGAAAGATCATGTTGACCACAGATTATAACATTTACACCACCACTGGTATGCAGCTCATCATCATGACCAAGAAGTAAGTGTGGAAGAGCCGCGACTTCCTCGAGAGACTTCACTGCTCTGATCTGTTACTGAGTGTGGCCTGTCATATCAGTCCTCTGAAGTGTCTGCACACATTGCACTTTTTTTTCTACTGAGTTGCATTATGGTGAATGTAGGTTTCCCAAATGTAAGTTTAACATATTAACATATGTCAACATGTTTTTGACATGAACAATGTAGACCCTGTTCAGAAGACCATGATGGCTATTATATGGTGGCACCAGAACCTGAAGCTGTTATTTAAAGTTTTTACACACACACACAAAAACACACACTCACTTACACTTGCAGAAATGTCATATAGTATGCATGATTATCATCCATCATGTATTAAGTCTCCTTCCCCAAGTCCTTGACTTGCTGTCCCCGTTGCTCAGCATTACGTCCATTTATCATTAAGTGACAACCTCTGGGGTTGTCCAGTGCCCATAAGTTAACTGAGATCAATTCATCATTTCAGACTAAATATCCGCCTTCCTCCCCTGCTGGCTGACAATAGGACCCTTTATTGTAAGTGACATTTTGCTGTGCATGAGCCAGAAGCCGATAATATCACACTCTTAATTTCTTACAAGTCTTTTGTTCTATCTAACTTTACATGCCGTCACATCAAATTATGTTATTGGGTCTCACATTGCTGATCAAAAGCAGGCTGTTTCAGGTTGAACTGCAACACACTTCCAGTTCTATGTCTTTAATATAATACTGTCTATTGTTTGAAGTCATTTAAACCCTACAAATTGTTGTAGATAGTTTTTGACTGATTTGTAATTCTTGCATTTTTCCTCTGACTGGGACTTCTGTTTGGGTGAATGGTTTGGATGAGGAACTTTTACGGCCTTCATTAAACCATGCACATATGGGACTCAAGGCTTAATTAATTAGGTGTCATAAACTTCAAGATTATTATTTTAGAAGTTGAAGATTGTTATAAAGTACCATGATGTAAAGCAAGAAAGATGCAGACAACATAAATAAAAAAGAGAAAATACTGTAACAATCACTTTAGAGATGAGCATCCGCACAGGCATTTCAGTTGGGCACGTTAAACTTGTGACCTGCTGCTGATCATGGTCCTTGTTTTTTCCGTTGTAACATGATTGTGTCAAATGCTGGTATGGCATATGGATATGAGGTCACATCACAGCTGTCCTTTTGATTAGTCACAACATTAACAGTTTTTTTTTCTCTGTGCAAAGCCTGCTCCCTGTCCAGTCTTTCCATTCTGTCCAGCAACTGTGACTCAAACCTGGCTCTTTGCACAAGTTCTCACTAGGATGCACATAAACACCATAAGCTGTAGTACAGGGTCCAACACACACACACACACACACACACACACACACACGCCAAGTCCATATACAATCGTCCAAGTACTCCGTTTGACACCAAATCAGGTCTCACTCCATTGGTTCCCTTCACTTAGCCAGTTATGGTCAGAAACAGATGGATTTCACAGACGCACCATCAACAGTAGGAGGTGCCGACACTCACACCACGCTCGTATTGCAACCGCTACAACCCC